CACGGTATCAGGTGCATGAAAGGGTGTTCCGGCGGTCCGTCTTGCAGAAAGCTTTGGGACACTTGGGAATATTTTCTTAAGTTTTGGGGCACTATAATTCCTAAGAAACAGCTAGAATGATAATTTGTTTGCTAGGGTGTCCAAGTTCAGTATAGAAAAGGTGATGGATGGTTCCAAGATCCTCATCTTCTGTGAGACGAAGAGAGGGGGCGACGAGCTCACGCGGGAGATGAGGCTGCCCCGTGTATCTTGTGGTTTAGGGTTTAGGGTTTAGGGTCAAGGGTCTGTGCGTGCAGAAAGGGCATTTCGCAAAATAGGGGTACCCAAATATACTCCCCCAAAGTAGAGGAAGCCCCCAAAAGGATGACCCCCTGTTTCGGAAGAAAAACATCCCAGGGATGTCAAAGCGAACTCCTTTCCTACAGGACCGATGGGTTTCCAGCCCTGTGCATACACGGCGAGAAGAAGCAAGAGGCCAGGCAGTAAGATCCTGAATCGGCAGTCAACATGATGAATTTGAACTGGGTTGTTTGCATACCATGCACCCCTTGACCATGCTCACATCCCCAAACCCTGAGCGAAAACCTCTGCCCTGCTTCAGGAGCGAGATTGGGTGATGAAAGAATTTAAAGAAGGAGCTTGGCACGCTGAAGTCGTCCTGAAACTTTCGAGATGTCTCGAGCCTTCGGATCAGGGTCTCGGGATCCCAAACCCTAAGCCCTGAACCGTAACCGTTGTAGGGCTTTAGAGGGTTATGGGTTTAGTTTAGGGCCGTCAGGGGGAGTAGGGCTTGGGCTTCATTAGGGCTTTAGGGGCTTTGGGGGTTTTAGTATGGTTTAGGGTTCAGGAATCAGGGTTTAGGGGCTTAGGGGCTTTGGGGTCTTAGCATGGAGTTGAGGTTCCAGGCTGCAGAGGCTCAGTTTCGGATTCTCTCCTCAACGAAGGTCGGCTCATGGTCACAGCTATATCGAGGTTGCCCTTGTCTCCGTTTAAAATGAGTATCATCATCATTATGATTGATATTGACTAGGATGCCCAGTGGTGCCCTTATTCCTTTTTCGGGGGCTCGAGGTTCCCCTATAAACCCCTTTTAGCAAAAAAAAGGCACCCTCTTTAATCCTAGGTTACCGGGCAACCTAGTTGAAATGTTACTGATGTCTGGGTTTAGGGTTTAGGGTTTAGGGTTTAGGGTTTAGGGTTTAGGGTTTAGGGTTTAGGGTTTAGGGTTTAGAGCCAGACAGTGGAAGAGGGACGAAGGGGGCAGTGCCAGGGCCGAGGCGATTGGAACTTGACTTCCCACCTTGGGGACGTCATGGACCCTAAAAAGGGTTTATGGTTCATGTACCTTAATAGGGATTGTAGTAGTAGTAGTAGTAGTAGTAGTAGTAGTAGTAGTAGTAGCAGCAGCAGCAGCAGCAGCAGTAGTAGTAGTATAGGGTATATGACCCCAATTTTTCTTACCTAAGCTGCTTAAGTCCCTGCGGAAGCTTGTTTGGGACCTCATGAGGTGTCGTTTCTCGTTCCGCGTGCAGAGTCTTGCCAACGAAGGCCGAAGAAAGCCAAACTCTCGCATAGAAGGAGGGTATCTACGTGCTAATATATACAGAAACACATACATCGACATTTTTATATACACACACACGTAGAGATATAGATACAATCAGAATGTCTCTATTCATTATAACACATACGCGTAGAGATAGATACAGCAAAAATATGTCTGTTTTTTTGTATTCATGAAATGTCTTTGTTCGTATATGGGGTCCTTGGCTGCAGGAAAGTCTCCCATCCTTGTGGCGACTGACTTAGCCTCGCGCGGTATTGATGTCAAGGACCGACCCTGCTCACATGTGGTGATAAGGGGGGGGGGGGGGGGATTCCGTAGAGCATGGGGCCCTTTTTGGAACTGCCCTCTATATATTTGTGTAGACAAGGCTCTGTATTATCATGGGATCCCCAAGAAGGGACCGTAATTTAGAGAGCCACCCACTTGCAGTGCTTTTTGCTTTGCTTGCGTTGCAACCGCGTCGACACGATTGCTTCTGCCAGGACATCAAGTGCGCCATCTGCATGGTCAACGATTTGGAGCTTCAGGGTATTTGTTTTCCAAATGTATCTGTACCTTTTTCATCCACTTATAAGCCCCTTAAGTGCCCTAATATGGTTGCAATTTGGATTATAAATACAGTTATAATTGGCAACAGGTTGCTAGGTACCATGAACCTTCAAGTCAAGTACATGGTCAGCTGCATGCATCCATCGTTCTGAGTTCTCGATTCGCCTCGCCAGGTACGTTATAAATTATGACTTCCCCAACCAGATCGAGGACCTTGGCTCGTTGCATCTCCCATGCCATTGATCCCAGTCCTTTTAGCCTTTACGAAAGAGGTTCTTGGGAGAGACCCTATATCCTAACTCCCAAAAACTCCTGAATCCCGAACTCCAGACCCCTGAACCCCAAATCCAAAACTAGGCCCTTCCCTCTTGTCGTTTCCATACTTTCTTGGGCAGGACTACGTTCACCGCGTGGGTCGAACAGGTCGCGCTGGAGCAACAGGCTCCGGCTTCTGGACACAGTGCAGTGGCCTTTTGTGTGGCTCTTGGAGTTCTGATTCTTCTAGGTTTGGGACTTAAGGATGAGGGTTTAGGGTTTAGGGTGCACACTTAGTTTGGGTGAAATGTGGGTTCTCCAGGAGGGCTGCAAAAAAGAATCAGCGCCTCAAAACCCTCACGCGCGCTAAATGGACCAGATTCTGTCGACCTGTTGCCTCGGTAGGCCCTTGAGACACCTCGTGCCTTTTCCTTTCGGAGTTTCGGGTTTAGGGTTTAGGGTTGAGGGTTTAGGGTTTAAGATCTGACCTGTCCACCCGCAACAAGCCCCACGCCACCCGGCATACGGTCAACTGACTGGCCGACCTCCTTTCGCACAAAAACCACTCCCGGGCTTCCCTTGGCCTTGCATCTGCACATATGTGTATAGATGTCCCTAAACATCTTTAAGCCTGAGCCCTGAACCCTAAACCCTAAACCCTCAACCCTCAACCCTAAGCCCTAAACCCTCAACCCTCAACCCTCAACCCAAAACCCTAAACCCTAAACCGACAGCATCTCCGGAGTCTGGAGAGGCTCCGCCTACACCTTCTTCACGTCTGACAAAGCTAAGCACGCGAAGGAGGGTTTAGGGCTTAGGTGCAATCGAACCCTTAGGGTCTAGGGTCTGGGGCTTGGGGTTAAGTCGTACCGCCTGAAAACTACAGCTTACCCCCCCAAACCCTTCTTGAGCACCTAGAACCCTAAAGCCCCTAAACTGCAAGCCCTATACAACACTACACCCCTAAAACCCCGAAGCCCGAAACCTCTCAAGCCTCTCGTCCGCTAAACCCCCCAAAAATCCCGAACCCCTAAATCCCTGACCCCCCACCGGTTTGCCGCCCACTGGCATGATCCAGGAAAGCTTCGCTCCCAGGCTGAGTTTTCGGGTCCAGGGTTTAGGGCAAAGTTTGGGGCTTAGGGCATAGGAGGGCTTAGGGCTTCAGGCTTGGGAGTTCCGAACTGGCCGAATGATAGACGATGCGTAGTTGCGCCATTCGGGTTTCGGGATTAGGGTTTAGGGTTTAGGGCTAGGTTTTTGTCGGAGCTTTCTCAAGTGATAGGCTTCGTCTTCCCTCAACGACCTCTAAACCTGGACTGGCACAGAATCTACAAGACGCAAGCCCTCAACCCCTAATAAGGTTTTTAGGGGTTTAGGGTTTTAGGGCTTTGTTCTACGGTTTGTTTGAAGGTTTTCTGTTTTTTTTGGGGGGTTTTAGGGCTTAGTAAACCTCAAACCCAAGCTACTTGTTCACCACATGTAGCTCGCCACCATGCCTGGCGAGGACCTCATAGGTGTGCTGAAAGAAGCCAAGCAGCAAATCCCCGAGGATCCGCTGTGCAGCTTTTGCCTGGGGGTTCTGCTTGGAGGTTCAGGGTACTTATTGACCAATTACTTGCTTTTAAAATAACCCATCTAGAAGCCCCTTAAGTGCCCTACCTAGTATGGCTAGAATTCGGGTTATAAGTACAGTTGTAATTGGTTAATTGGTTTCAGTGTCGACTGTGGCTCTAGGCGTTCTAGGGTTTAGGGTTTAGGGCCTGAGCCTCAAGCCATCTGAGAACTTCTGTCAGGAGCTGGAGAAGCTCGCGCAGAACAGCGCATCCGGCCTGATTCGTGGGCTCCCCTCAATGTCGACTCCGACTTCATGTTAAGGGTTCAGGGTTTAGGGACTTGAAGATACGAGAATACACGCTGCAATATATCCTGCAATTTATACCGTAAGATGGACTATGACGTGTACTAGAAGATATATATATATATATATGTAAGAGGGACCTTTAGGTACTATGTGATTACTTTCCTTTCTAGGAGGTTAAATAGTTTAGATAGTTTAGATAGTTTAGATAGTTTAGATAGTTTAGATAGTTTAGATAGTTTAGATAGTTTAGATAGTTCAGGAAGCCCCTGAACTATCTGAACTATCTAAACTATCTAACCTCTAGCTGAGCAGTCCTCCCTGAATCGGTTTTCCAAAAACTTAGATTTGTCATTTTGGGAGCTCAGTTTTCCAAAAAACTTACGGGGGACACTGCTTGCGATTTGTCTTTTGGGAGCTCGGTTTTCCAAAATCTTAAGGGGAACACTGCTTGCGATTTGTCATTTTGGGAGCTCAGTTTTCCAAAAAACTTACGGGGGACACTGCTTGCGATTTGTAATTTTGGGAGCTCGGTTTTCCAAAAGCTTAAGGGGGACACTGCTTGCGATTTGTCAATTTTTTTTTGGGAGCTCAGTTTTCCAAAAGCTTAAGGGGGACACTGCTTGCGATTTGTCATTTTGGGAGCGCAGTTTTCCAAAAAACTTACGGGTGACACTGCTTGCGATTTGTCATTTTGGGAGCTCGGTTTTCCAAAAGCTTAAGGGGGAAAGTGCTTGCGATTTGTCATTTTGGGAGCGCAGTTTTCCAAAAACACTTACGGGGGACACTGCTTGCGATTTGTCATTTTGGGAGCTCAGTTTTCCAAAAGCTTAAGGGGTGACACTGCTTGCGATTTGTCATTTTGGGAGCGCAGTTTTTCAAAAACTTAAGGGGGACACTGCTTGCGATTTGTCATTTTGGGAGCTCAGTTTCCAAAAGCTTAAGGGGGACACTGCTTGCGATTTGTCATTTTGGGAGCGCAGTTTTCCAAAAAACTTACGGGGGACACTGCTTGCGATTTGTCATTTTTGGGAGCTCGGTTTTCCAAAAACTTAAGGGGGACACTGCTTGCGATTTGTCATTTTGGGAGCGCAGTTTTCCAAAAAACTTAAGGGGGACACTGCTTGCGATTTGTCATTTTGGGAGCTCAGTTTTCCAAACACTTAAGGAGGACACTGCTTGCGATTTGTCATTTTGGGAGCGCAGTTTTCCAAAAAACTTACGGGGGACACTGCTTGCGATTTGTCATTTTGGGAGCTCGGTTTTCCAAACACTTAAGGGGGACACTGCTTGCGATTTGTCATTTTGAGAGCTCATTTTTTCAAACAACGTCAGCTTTTCTTAGATTCTTTTATCTGAAATTGTATAGTAGTTTTGAGTTTTTTTATTACTTTTAAAAAGGGACGGTTCAACAGTACCACATTTACTTATCGGCCGCGTGGCCGGGCTTAAGCCTGACGTGAAAAACCCGGCCGCCCTCAGGCGAGCCGGGCTCTGGCACCGACAACTCAGTCGCGGCCGCCCTTAGGCGTGCCGCGACAACCCGGCCGCCCTCAGGCGAGCCGGGTTCAGGCGAGCCGGCCGCCCTTAGGCGAGCCGGCCGCCCTCAGGATGCGAATTTTTTTTCTCGAAATTGTTGGGTCTCCGCCCAGGGGAAACTCTCGCAATTTTTTTTCGGCAAGCCCGGCGTTGTGCTTGAAATCCTAAACCCTGAAGCTCGGCATGCAAATCATTGATCTTTGCGCGCGGGATCGCAAAGGGCATTTGGGCGTGATTCTAAGCCCCCGCCTGTTCGTGTTTACTTGGGCCGGCCACACGTATGTTGTCTCCGTGTAACGGTGGCGTTAAAAACCAGTATGGAGCAAGGGAGCGCAGGGGTGAGCGCAAGTCCTAAGACCCCAACCTGTAAAACCAGGCAGTCTGATAGAGCTATACTCAGGCTCTCAAAGCTTCAAGCTTCAGAGTAGTCTATTACAAACGCTCCAGCTATCACTCTGGATAGCCAAACACGAGTACATAGTACAATAGCCTAGAAAACCTTGTCGGTACTATGTTTTGTAGTTGGCATGTTTGCCGGCTTGGCCAAACACTAGCACGGCGCAAGAGCGAGGCACAAGGGATCCCTACGGCCTTAGGCTTGGCATAAGAATTTAGAACAACACCCATTTGCAGAAGGTCGTTTCGCTTGCGCAAGTTGACCTGTAGATAGTAGCTGCACGGCACGGCGTAAGATTTAGGCGGAAGGTCGCCTCAGCCGCTACCTGCCAAGCAGCCACGCGGCAAGTTTTTTTTTTGTAGTTTTGAGCCAGCCGAGCATGCCTACGCGCGTGGCCTGGAATGGCAAGAGACCTGTGTTGGTGCTGACATGTCAGAAACCTCCATGACAGGCGAGCGGGCAGAAGTGGTCGAGAGCGGCAGAGGATGTCCGCTTCCAGTACCGTGTGTGTCTCAGACCAGGAACGCATCTTCTACTATAAATGCTTGAGACGAATGGAAGAAAAACATTTCAAGTTATTGTTGTAACATCCAGAGGCGCCTGCGGTGGACGTGACCTGGCTTCCGAAAGCGAAAGAGCTGTGGTTTCAAGTTCTTGTTGTAACATCCAGAGGCGCCTCCGGTGGACGTGACCTGGCTTCCGAAAGCGGAAGAGCTTTGGTCCACGTTCCGCGTTGCCCTCTTGGCACTTCTACAGGCGTGGCACAGCCGACTGGCTAAGTGGGCCAAGCTGCTTGGCAGCACAGAGAAATTTTATTCTTCTCATAAAAACAGCTATTTTGAAAAAAATGAAAAAGACAGGACCCCGCAAATGCAGCGGACCACCACGGAGCAGCAACAGTTCTTGTTGGACATGATCAAGGCAACGCCTGCAGTTCATCAAAGTTTTGTATCTGCACTCAGTGCGCCAGGCCAAATGGACTGAGTCCGTTGCTGCTCTGACTGGTTTGGTCGCCAGTTGGTGCAGTACACACCAGAAATCTTCGACGAGGCCTTGCTCAAATAAATTTTGTTCGTTTCATACATTTATGGCGTGTTTTTGCTCCAGGTTCTGAGTCTGTGCATCAACACGGAAACCACGCTGCACCGCCACATTGGCTTAGCCATCGAGCGGCTGCAAGGCGATAGCGTGCGCTTTCGAAATGTCATTCTGAAATTTCCGTATATGTTTTTGTTATTGGCTTGATGTCTGGTTGAGCCCCCGGAGCGAGACCTGAGTTCTCTGGACCCGCATGAGCGTTTCACCGGCGTCGTCGTTAGGGTAGACTCCCTAACAAACGGTAAACTCGTGCGTTTGGAGTATTCCCTGGGTGGGCCTCTCCGTCTTATCACCGGTTGGGTGAAAGCAGACGAGAAACACCCTGTAGGTGCTCGCCGAAACTTTTGCGTTGGGTGGCGCGGGGATCGCGAAGCAAGAGACTGGGCTCCCACGGCCAGGTATCTTAGCGAATGCTAAGGTCCGCATTTCTCCTTGTGACAGATTTTTCATCTGCAAGTTCAAAATGCAAGCCTTTGCTTGTGTGTGAATTTCAGAAGTTCTTCATAGGAAGTCTTGACATAGCAGCGTGAGAATTATGATTTTACTGCCAACCGGCAACGCACATCACGTGACGCGACTCTCAGACGGAAGACAGCGCTGCATTGAGGACCACAGTCAGACAGCCAGGGGTACGAGATTCAGAACACTAAAGAGGCCAAAGAGACTCGAAGAGTTATCTGAATGATGCCTTAAAAACAACACTCCCGTGGAGCTTATATTTGTTATTTGCAGGTTGCATAGCTGAGTGGAGGTCGCGCAGCAAAGTGGCAGACTAGTCGATTAGAATTCACAAGATTTAATTTGTAAGGTTTGGAATTTAAAGTTTTGGTTAACAAGCCTCCGCCTCTCAAAGAAACGCAGATCTTTGTTTTCATGTTTTCAGTACAATTTACAGGGCCAGAGTTTACATAAATTATCTCTGATCAAAAAACACAAACGGATTTACCAAACAAAATCATTTTTGAAGTGGAAGACACAGTAGGGTTCATGAGTAAGAATCGTCTAGTTTCATTTAAAACATAGCGGCTCAACAGTACAAGGAGTTTTTAGAGAATGTCTCTGAATATTTGGTACAGTTGTACCGCGCTGGTTCCTTTGAAACAAGTGGGTTCAACGGTACCAGATTTTCCTAGAGAATGTCTCTGAAACATTTGTACTGTTGCACCGCCCTGTTTCTTTTAAAACAAGGCGGTTCAAAAGTACCAGATTTTCCTAGATGTGGTATTTGAAATTTCGTGCTGTTGTGCCGCTTTGTTTTCTTTAAAACAACGTGATTCAACAGTGACAGATTTTCCTAGAGGTTGTCTCTGAGTTTTTTGCACTGTTGCACTGCCTTGTTTCCTTTAAAGCAAGGTGGCTCAACAGTATCATATTTTCTTAGAGAAGGTCTCTGAGAATTTGTTATTGTTGGATCGTGCTGTTATTTAAAAAAATGCGGTTTCACAATGCCAGATTTTCAGAGAAAATGTTTCCGAAAATTTGGTGGGGGGTACAGTACTTTTGAACCGCCCTATTTTATTTTTTTAAATGAACAGAACCAAATTTTCTTATCGGCCGCGCGGCGGCCTTGAGCCTGACGCAACAACCCGGCCGCCCTCAGGCGAGCCGGGTTCTGAGACCGAAGACTCAGTCGCGGCCGCCCTGGAGCGTGCCGCGACAACCCGGCCGCCTCAGGCGAGCCGGGTTCTGAGATCGAAGACTGAGGCGCGCGATTTTAACGTGCCGCGACAACTCGGCCGCCCTCAGGCGAGCCGGGGTCTGACACCGAAGACTCAGTCGCGGCCGCCCTGAGGCGTGCCGCGACAACAGCCTAGCCATTTGTTTTTAGTCTTCACCGGCTGCTGTCAAAATGCGAAAAATATTTTACTTCGAACATCCCCACCTTAGAGATTCTGGTGTTCGCCTTTCCAAGGAACTCTGGGTTTGGCACTCCAGGAAATCTGGGGTTAGGGGAGAGGACTCTGAAGATGAGGAAAAATACAATATTTTTATTAGATCTCAAGCAGAGGCGGTGCGCGGGAGGAGGGCAGTGGTGATGGGCTCAGGTCCAGAAAAGGGTGCGGGTAGGCTCGGTGGCAAAAAGAATAAAGATGCCGGATATAGCTGGGGAGGGGATGACTCTCGACTGACGCCCCCCCCTGTGCCGGGGGTCGGATTGCGCGCACGCAACTACATCCTAAAGGTCTCTTTTACATAAATAATGTCATATATATCATATGTAGTAACTCAACTAATAATGGTTGAAGGGGGCGGGGCGGCAGTGGTGATGGGCTTGGTGGCAAAACAGGGTGAAACGCCGATATGGCGGGGGAGGAGGAAACTCTCGACTGACGCCCCCCCCGTGCCGGGGGTCGTTTGGGAATGCGCTGTTGATATGGTTTAGATATGGTCCTCAATACAAGTTTTTGTACAATGCCCAACACAGGCCCGAATACAGGGTTGAATACGATTTTTTCCATGAGGCAAGCCATTCATGCTGCATGATTCATATGAGCAGCAGAAGCTGTGCAAGAATGCTCCACCAGGCACCTCTGTGTTGGAATCATATTGGAGTTGTATTTTTCAAAGCTGCAGTCAGCGTGGCCAAATCGTATCCGAATCGTATTCAAATCGTATTTGAAGTGTATGCTTGGAGAATTGGCGAGTTTCCTCGATGCATTCACCTGCGTATCGCCCCTTGTATTCTAGATGGTATCCAGTTCGTGTCCATCATGTACTGGAAATGTATTCGTATCTACACTCATATCCCTGAAACGTATCGATATTGTATGCAACCCCATAAAAGAAATTCTGGAGCTTTTCCTGCCTTTCACAGACTTGGGAAGTCTTGGGCGTATGGAATGTGTATCCGCAGCTTGTTTTTGTGCTCCTGAGTTTTCCTGCCCTCTCCTTGCTCTGTGTCAGCTTCTCAGATTCGCGTGATTCGCACATGAACTCGTTGAGTACAGAAGACTTTAAATCGCCGTCAAATGCAAGGCCAGCGACAAGATGGCCAAGCAGGCACGGAGCGCAAACCCAGAAAGCGCCTGAAGATCCCCCATTGCTGAGAAAATGCCCACTGGATGTACGTGTGTGACTCGAGGCGAAATTTGTGGGCATTTTCAGGGTTTCAAGAACCATTCGGGTTTTTGGCTATCTTGGGTCTACAGGAAACACGCCCAGCTGGACGCATGACGTGCTTGGACTCTTCGTTTCTAACGATCTTGACTCCTTGTTGCTCATCCTTTTCCCTAATCCACAGATAATGCCCGGAGAGCCTCTGGGCAATTTGGCCGAACTTGGGAAAATGCACAGGGCATTTTCGTAGGCTCCCTACCCTAAACAGACGGGCGATGCCTGAAGTTTTCCCAAAAATTCTGGGAGGACGCGGCCACATGCACGTCTTTGGACGTGAACGTCCCGCGGGAGCCGCAGAGCCCGCCGCCATGGGTTTTGGCCAAGGCTCGCGACGGGAAAGGGATCTCTTCGTAGACCCGAAAACTTACCCTAAATTTAAGAGCCTCCGGCTCAAGCCGCCGACCCCGCTGGAGCATAGTTGAAAGGTTTAAACGCGCTCGTCAGCTCAAAGGATGCCAAAAGTTGATTTGCTTGAGCCTCTGTGAAACGTTGGGGGGGGGGGGTAGGGGGTAGCACCAGGACCCAAACAGGGGGGGTGCTGCGTAGGTTGGGGAAAGAAACGTTGGGGTTGAAGCCCCATCACGTAGCCCAGCAACCGGGAGGGGGGGTAGGGGGGGTAGAGGGGGTAGTAGTGAAACCATACATAAATTGATGGAACCGATGCCCAGGAGCTCTGTCGCTGCTGCCCTCAGGACCTAATTCTAATGAGGCGCTCCATCGCGAGGTCAAGTCTTGGTTTTTGCAGACGCAAAAAAAATCAACGCACTCTGCTGCTTAAGTTGAACATTTTGCACATTTGCAAGATTTTTCTCATAATCTGGCCAGCCGCCACTCAACGATTAGTCAAACAGACTATTAGATGGCAGATAGTCTGCAATTCGCAGGGGGAAGCCGCCGTTGCGCACTTTAAGTTTATCGGCAAATAGTAAAAGGCCTTTCGTGCGCTGTCCGGTTGGCCCTCTAGCCAGGTTTGCATACTCCCAAATATGTTTCAATCTCTCAACGCGTGTCACAGTCATGCTGACGCTCGGATCTTGACGCTTGGCTCAAGCTCAAGTCCCCGTGAAGAGTGAAAATTAGTCCGAAGGCTGCCGAGGCGGTGGCCCGGACAGAGAACTCGACTTTGGGATCGGGTTCTTCCTGTTTGGGTCTTTTGGGTTCCACTTCGGGGTTTGCAACCATCGTCATTGCAGACATTGCAGCCGCAGCTGCAACAAGATTAGGATTGCGGCCAAGTGTTGCACTCGGGGCCCAAAAGCGCGCTCATCATATAGACGGGACATCTTCTTTTCTAGCACGATTAATCACAAACATCATTGTGCGTGTTCACCTTCAGGTCAAAGGCCCCAGGGTTGGAATTGGGTTCCTCTCCCCCAGCTGGGGGGGGGGGGGGGGATTTTCCGAACTATGGCTGTAGATCAAGGCTGTATTTGAGCTCGTTTGTATCCGGCTCATGTGCCCTCTCCAGCTGCCGGCATCCTCCTGGAGAGGCAAGCCTGAACTTTTAGGGCAACGCCTTTGCTCGCGGCGACAGCAGTGGTGTGCAAAATGAGCTGATAGACATGAATCAAATCCAAGCTATTAGGTGTGCTTTTGCTGCTAGCTGGTCGGTTGATTTGTTGTGACCTGAACCGACGCCAAAAGTCTCGAATGGTTCATGGTTTAGGGTTAAGGGTTTAGGATGTAGGGTTCTGGTCTTAGGGTTTAAGGGTTCAGCTTGAATGATTGGGAACTCTGAACATCTCTCTCACATACCTCTAGTTGCAATATGTATAATATGAAACGCAAGTACTCATTTGATAACTGTTAGTACTGTTGAAGTAAAACCCAAGGCAAGTGATCACATTATACCTAAAGGTCCATGGCACATATATATATATACCATAATACATATGTGCATATATAATTGTTTACTCATACTAGAATATAAACTATAAACATATTTCAACCTACATTGTTCAGCAGGGAGGATGTTTGCAGGCAGCGCTGAATTCGCGAAAACCCAACACACTCAACCCCAAGAGTTCGGGAAGATTTGCAAGGTTTAGGGTTTAGGGTTTAGGGTTTAGGGTTTAGGGTTTAGGGTTTAGGGTTTAGGGTTTAGGGTTTAGGGTTTAGGGTTTAGGGTTTAGGGTTTAGGGTTTATGCTGTTCTAACAGGATTTTCAGGGTTGGACACGGGCTTTCATAAGAGGATTTTCAAACTCGAAAGGCAAAGAAGGGGCCTTCAACGCTCCAACGCAAGTACTTGTAGGCCATGATCAAGGAGGTTTTGGGGTGCTTTGGCATGCCCTTGATCTTAAAATCTTCAAGCCTGCCCGAAAGTGCGTGCCAGGCTGGGGTAGACGGTGACGCAGGCTCGGGGCCATTAAGCTTCGCATCATTCAGTGTTGCTTCCCCCCAACTTGATTGTCTCGGGAGCCCAGAGATTTTCCGAAATCAGCAAGAAGGCCCCAATTCAAAGCAAAACCCTCCAATATACCTAATCCCGTGACTTGAACGTACATGTTCAGGGCTGTAGAGATGAAGGTGCTCCTTGCGATTTCGATAGTCATGGAGCTCGCCACTTGCAGCAGTTGTCGCAGCCGTGGCGTTCTCCGCAAGAGCATTGCAGAATAATGAGATAATCGCGATGCACCATGGCATCTCTCCACTTGCGTATGTGCCGCAGGCGACGCATTCCTCTGGAGTGAGCGGTTGCCAAACTTTCAACTAGAACCAAATTGTCGGCATGATCGATGGATCGAATCTTGGGGCACACAGCCCCGGCTTAGCTTCTTCTCTATTAATATACATATATATATATATATATTACGTATATATGTATTTATTTATAGTAGAGCAGCATATCATGCAATGTCGTACGATGCATCATATGGAATCCTTTGTTTTATTCCGTCATCCAAAATGCAAGCGGAATGTCACCCTGTGGACGTTGCAAGCACCGAAGCCTTGCGACGTCCGGGTGTGGTGTTTAGGCTCTAAGGTTTGAAATGCCCGAAAGCCTAAACCATGAGCCCTGAGCCCTAAACCCAAAGGTTTTAGGGTTTAGGGTTTAAGGTTCAGGGTTTAGGGTGTGCCGGCTGAGGTGGATTCCCGAAATGTCGTGGCACCCCTCAGTTCGGTGCGTGGAATTGAGTTTTGGGTTTTGAGAAATGTTTTGAAGCGCAATTTGGGGGCTTAGGGTTTAGGGTTTAGGGTTTAGGGTTTAGGGTTCTTCTTTCAGGGTATGCGGGTTCAGAAGGCTTAGGAGATAAGCTTCGTCTTAGTGACGATGCTTGGTGGATGCTGCGGCCAGCTTGACCCAGAGTGCGCCTCTTATTGACAAAGAGGCGTGGCTGAATGGGTTGAGGGTTTAGGGTTTAGGGTTTTGGGTTTTCGGTTTTCGGTTTTCGGTTTAGGGTTTAGGGTTTAGGGTTTAGGCTTTAGGGATCTCGTTGGGGTAGGTAACGGTAGGTACATGGGCCCTGAATATGGTCCCCAACCTCCTTTTGTATGGGCCATTAATTTGTGCAGGGTGTAGAAGGGGTATATAAGGGGTCCCCTTTTAAGGGTACCTACCCTTAGGGATCTCCTCCCTTTCAGTCGCGGAAGCCCCCGCACGCTTCGCGACGTGATCTTGATTTGCCGGTAAGGATAAGGGAGCAGTTAAGCCAAGGGGTATGCAATCCCTTCCTCACAAATGCTAAAACCCCCACTCTACTATCAAATATTCTTAAATCTTGAATCTTCCCCTTACAATATAATGTAGTTCATCAACGGAGCTTTCAATATTAACGGTGATGTGGGGAGCATTCGGAGTAGGATTACTAATTTATACATACACCTCCTCCCACAGCTTCGCTCGGCGTGTGTGCGCGAACCTAGAAACTCCAAGTATTGCGAGCACAATCCACGACATCCAAAATAGCATGCCTGCGAGTGGGTTAAGATTTGGCGTAGGGCGCCAAGCTATGTCCATGATGATCGCTGTCCAATCATCTTTAGGCGAGAGGAGGGAGTAAGCCATTCCGATGTGTTGCCTCCTTGAACCAAACTAAGTGGCAACATGACCATAAGACTTCATCCCTCTGCCATGGACAACCCTAAACCCTAAACCCTAAACCCTAAACCCTAAACCCTAAACCCTAAACCCTAAACCCTAAACCCTAAACCCTAAACCCTAAACCCTAAACCACTAACACAAGGACTTTTTCACATCGCTACTGGGATTTTGTATGAAAGGTGAGTGTGTTGTTCGGTACCTCAGCCCATGGTTTCCAGCGCAACCTCCCGGACTTCCCTCTGTACAGTGCCATTTCTGGGATTGCTTCTCGTGCTGGCCGCCGCCGCCGCGTTTCCATACACCCTGGAACCTCTTGTGGAGTTTCTGCGCGGGGGCCCACTCATCCAATGTCTGGGCACCGTGAATGACCACCAGTCTGAGTTCCCCTGCCAGAGACCCGTTGGACACCTAGGTAGCCCAGTGGTACCCTTTTCTCTTTTTTTTTGGGGGGGTTCAAGGTTCCCTTATCAATCAAGAAAGGGTGCCCTTATTAGAAGATGGTTACTGGAGTACCAAGGACATGCTGTTCTGGAGCAGACATGGTGGTTGCCACGAGCTTCGGTGACTGTCGATGGCTGGATTGCGGATTACGGGCCACTGCTGCCTTACCTCCTCCTGGTGACACAGCTCTACACAGAAACCGTGGAACAGGCGGCTGAAGAGTTCGGTCAGTGGTGTCCTTGTCCCTGCTGGTGTGTTGCGCTCGCCTGGTGGATTCTCATGACTCTGGTGCGCCTCGTCATATTCTGTCTTGTACGTCCATACAACGAGTTCTTCTCTGATCACATCTTTCTTCTAAACTGCATGCTAGCTCAGATTCAGATGTCCCTTGCCATGACATCCTGTAGAAGAGACTGGAGCTCAGAAGCAGAATGGTGGTTTTACTTGGAAGTGCTTGTGGCAGCACCGCTCGTGATTCTTATCTTCTTCGAGGCATTCATGACCAGCTGGCTTTACCACACACTCTTTGCCAGCTGTATGGCCTTGCTTGCGTCATCCGCCACTTTTCAGGCGACGGCATTCATCTGGATGCGGCTGCTCCGAAGCACCGCCGGCCAGGAGACTGACCATAGCAAGAAGCTGATTGAGGAGGTGTCTAGTGTTTAGGGCTTCCTTGGAGGTTCAGGGTACTTATTAACCAATTTTATAGCTGTACTCATAACCCACTTATAAGCCCCTTAAGTGCCCTAATATGGCTATAATCTGCATGAAAAGTACAGTTATAATTGGTTAAGAAGTACCATGAACCCCCAAGTAAGCCTTTTGAGCGCGAGCTGGGAGGAAGCCAGAGAGCTGTCCCGGACTTCAGCAGCCGTTTGCCTCCGCTTTGGTGCCCCTAATGTGGGAGAATTCGGATGTGCCTTTTAAGCACGTGGTAGCCCAGTGGTACCCATTTGCCCTTTTTGATTTCTAGGGTGCCCTTATGAGTTGTATAGTAGCCAACCCCAGAAAGGGTACCCTTATGATAATGCGGTTACTGGGCTACCAGGAGCATAATTACTCCGGATGCTTGCCTGGAGGGCTTGCGGTCTCTGCAGACAGCAGCGTCGAAAACGCGTCAAAATCACAGCAGGTGCCTGAGGTCTGTGTGAAAGCTTCGGGAACCCTAAGCCCTAAACCCCAAAAACCCTAAACCCGAAGCCTTTTGAATCTAGGGGTACTTTGTTGGGGTCCTTCTCTTATAAGGGGATCCTACTACTTGGGGATCTATTTTGGGCGTCCACTCTTGTCGACCCAAACCCTGAAGACTTAAATCCCAAAGCCCCTCAACCTCGAAGCCGCCGAAAACACAACAACACAATCCTGAAATTCTAAAAGCAGCGGTTTAGGGTTTAGGGTTTAGGGTTTAGGGTTTAGGGTTTAGGGTTTAGGCTTTAGGCTTTAGGGTCCAGGCTTAGGGTTTGCTCAGGGTGGTTCAAGGGTCTCTGTGCCGGGTTCATGTTATGATGGGCCCTTGTAGTAAGCCCTGAGCCCTAAGCATCGCAACCCTAAACCCGGAACACTGAACCCTAAGACCTAAACCCTGAACTCTGAACCCGAAGCCTCGTAGCCCTAAACCCGAAACCTTAGGCCCTGAACCCTGAACCCGAAGCCTTGTCTACCTTAATAGGGATTATAGTAGTATAGGGTATATGACCCCCCCAATTTTAGGCTTCCTTTGGTCCCCAAAGGAACCCTCTCCGGGCCGCGCCTGCCTCAAGCCAACCTCTGTCGCCCCAGCCCGCTTTCGATTTTCCCGGCAAGAGATCGACCTGAAGCGCGGCTTGGCTAGACAGGTCCCTTTGAGAGCTTGGGAGCCCAGTGGTACCCTTGACCCTTTCTTTTGGGTTCCGGGTTCCCTTGTAAAGTAGCAAGCCGAAAAAGGGTACCCTTGTTTTAATATGGTTCCTGGGCTATTCAGAGGGAGAGGGGAGGGCTTAAGGGGGCCGTTTTAGGGTGTCGTACGTAGCGCCTGGTGGGGAGTTGCCTAGGGAGCCGTATGGCCGGAAAGCGCTAGGAGAGTTTTGGGGAGTACTGGGGAAATTTCAGGAACATGGAGGGGGGGGAACTTTGATTTGCGTACTCGAAGGTTATCATTCTTATTATTGAAAATTAATATTGCCATACTTATGTAATGAAACAGTGTGCATACCCATCAAGGGGACCCCCGAAAAGGGTACCCTAATTTGCGGGAACACTCAAAGTAATCTTTCAGTTCATGGCGCCCTAAACCCTAAACCCTAAACCCTAAACCCTAAACCCTAAACCCTAAACCCTAAACTTCAGGAGAACATGGCCACAGCCCCATGCTTTGTGGCTGCTGGCCCAGCTGAGCCTGCGCGCGCGGGCCCTCGTCCGGGGTGCTTCGGGTTAGGGTTTAGGGTTTAGGGTTTAGGGTTTAGCGTTGAGCACTTAGCGTTTAGCGTTTAGGGTTTAGGGCTTAGGGCTTAGGGCTTAGGGCTTAGGGTTTAGGGTTTAGGGTTTAGGGTTTAGGGTTTAGGGTTCAGGGTTCAGGGTTCAGGGTTTAGGGTTTAGGGTCTTTAAGGGGAGCGGCGCCACATAAGTTCTGAGCCTGTGCCAGTCTGGAGGGGTTATCTCAAAAAATCCATGAACTCCTTTTGGTTGTCGTTTGGGGGTCGAGATGCTTGGGTTGCGCTAGGTTTTTGGATTACAGATACAGTAGAATTAAATCCTCAGCCTGAAACCCACAACCCCTAAATGGCAGAACCCGTAGGCCCTAACACCCTGCCCTAATCCCCTAAGACCCTAACGCCTCAACCCTAAAATTCCCAAAGCCCTGGATCCCTAAAGCCAAACCATACCCACACCATTGGGGGGAGGGGGGGGGGGGGCTGGGGGAGGGGTGGGCGGGGCGCAACCAGAAAAGGTTAAGGGTTAGGATTTTGGCTCAGGCATCGTAGCCTTAGACCGAACCCCAAACAAGATCAGGATCCCACCCTAAACCCTACACCCCCCCCCCCTGTTTTTTCAAAGCCGCAGCCAAGTCAAGAATCCCTAAACTCAGGAGTCCGAGTGTTTAGGGTTTCAGGGTTTTGGATTTTCGTTTTTCAGGGTTCAGGGTGTGTTCGTACTCGCAGGTTCATGGGTACTTATATCCACAGCTATCAGTCTACTTGTAACCTACTTAGCGGACTTAGCGGGAAGTGGCCGAAACCCTAAACCCTAAACCCTATCCCTAAACCCCAAACCCTAAAGGAATGCAAGACATGCATGTATCGAATATAGGAGTAAAGGAGTATTATCCGTTGCTTTCCGAACCTTTCCCGTGGAACCTCCTGAAACGAACCCCGGTGACCTTTCTGCGAGCCAGTTTTTGGCTGAGGGAGTGGGTCATCTTTTTCTGTTGTCAAGGCAAAATGGGCGCTATGCCCTCGATCATCCTCCAAAGTTGTGTAGCTCGGGAGCTATTTAAGCTGCCAGACTTCTGAGGCTCCGGAAGGAGTCGCTTAGCTTCAAAGGTGGGTCCAGCGGGACCCAAAGGCGCATCCAATGCAGAAGTCGAGCTGGAGGCTCCAAGAGGAGTGGATCTCGTAGCTCCAGGATGTGGCTCGGCGGGGCCCATGTGCTCATCCATTGCAGTAGGCAAAACGGAGGCCCCAAGAGGAGTGGATCTCGTAGCTCCAGGGTATGGCTCGGCAGGGCCTATGTGCGAATCCATTGTAGTAGGCAAACTAGAGGCTCCGAGAGGAGTGTGCGTCGCCGGTTCAGGCGATAAAGGCTGTGCAGTAGTAGGCGCTGTCCGGGTCCTGAAGCGGACTGGAGGGGTGGTGTCCTCTGGGCCTGGTTCGCAGCCAGAACACGGCGTGGTATAGTCCTCTTAAAGGACTGAGATTCTCATCAACTTTACCAGCAACCCTGTGGCGTTTAGGGTCTGTAGGAAAAATTACGGTTTAGGGTTCATCGGGTTTATGGGGTAGGGTTTAGGGTTTAGGGTTTAGGGTTCAGGGTTTAGGGTTTAGGGTGTAGGGTGTAGGGTTTAGGGTTTAGGGTCATTCTGCCGTCCACCCGAGAACCCTACCCTTAATTTAATCAGAGGAACCTTTTGCACCCTTTAAAGAAGGGGCATGCCTGCAAAGAGGAAGCTGGTATACATACTCGTTTAGTCGGTAGAGGTTGAGAAGTTCCCCCTTCTACTAACAGTGATAGGGATTCTCATAGGGGGTACGAAAATCCCTATGAAGGACTCTTCCTTAATAGGGATTATCAGAGGGGGTACTATCCTAAACCCTAAACCCTAAACCCTAAACCCTAAACCTTAAACCCTAAACCTTATTCAGGACTCTTAGCACAAGGGGGCCAGGTAAAAGGGCTGCTCTAGGTAGACTCCGCAGCCTGAAGCTCGAAACCCTAAACCCTAAACCCTAAACCCTAAACCCTAAACCCTAAACCACTCTTTCATATATAATATAAATGTTAATGACTTTGCGGGCAAGGTCATATATTTAGCGGGCAAGGTCGTATATTTAGCGGGCAAGGTCATATATTTAGCGGGCAAGGTCATATATTTAGCGGGCAAGGTCATATATTTAGTGGGCAAGGTCCATTGGCTAAAAAATGACCTTGCCCACTAAATATATGACCTTGCCCGCTAAAGGCGACCTTGCCCACTAAATATATGACCTTGCCCGCTAAATATATGACCTTGCCCGCTAAATATATGACCTTGCCCGCTAAATATATGGCCCGGGCCAGGTCATATATTTAGCGGGCAAGGTCATATGTTTAGCGGGCAAGGTCCTATATTTAGCGGGCAAGGTCCTATATTTAGCGGGCAAGGTCCTATATTTAGCGGGCAAGGTCCTATATTTAGCGGGCAAGGTCATATATTTAGCGGGCAAGGTCATATATTTAGCGGGCAAGCCCCGCCCCCCACCACCCCACCCCCCCCCACCCACCCCCCCCCCCCCCCACCCCCCCCCACCCCCCCCCCCCCCCCCCCCCCCCCCCCCCCCCCCCCCCCCCTGGAGCCCCTCAAAAGAGTCAAGCGATTCAAGATGGCTTCCAAAGAATAAGTTTCCGAATGCCCGCGCCTGTTTTTGAGGCCCCTGAAGCCCCTCAAACGACTCAAGAACTCAAGATGGCTTCCAAAGAATAATATAGTTCCCGAATGGAAACATGTGGTTAACAAATCCATTCTGTTGACCACGTTGGTTTTCTTGTCCGCTTGAAACAGAAACATGTGGTTAACAAATCCATTCTGTTGATCACGTGGCCAGGGAAGAAGGAGGTTGGATATTTTTCCTAATGGTGTGGGACCCAATGGGCGGGTGGGTATTCCCCTGTGGCCTTGAAAGCTGCTCAACTAGTGAATGCTTGGACCAGAGATGCTGAACCCTAAACCCTAAACCCTAAACCCTACACCTTAAACCCTAAACCCTAAACCCTAAACCCTAAACTGTAAACCCGACAAGCTTCACTCCAGGCCCCTTGGTACTTCGCGCGCCAAACGCTGCAAAGGGGCGCCTCGCAGACTGTCAGAGGGCATCAGCTTTGGGATGTTCCTTGTTATACTACCACGGGTTTAGGGTTTAGGGTTTAGGGATAGGACCCGGACTAGGCGCCCTTATTTCCTTTTTTTGGAGTTGGGGTTCCCTTACAGTCCCCTTTAAACCACAAAAAGGGGCACCCTTTCTAGGTTACTCCTGGGTCTAGACTAACAGTCCTTAATCGGGATTCTAGTACCCCTTGTTTTTTCTATCGCTAATATTTTAGGGTCTTTTTCCTGCGGGCCTCGAAAGTGTGTGGTGCTTGCGTTCAATAGTGGGCTCAGATCTAGGGGTTTCGTGTTTGGCTCTAACCCTAATCCCTAAACCTGTGAGTGGCTTTGGTAGCTGGAGACGCGGCGTTTTGGTGGGAGCGGGGCCCCTTTTTTGGTTGATTGTCCAAGCCTTGCAGGGCTCAGGGGCTTAGAGGTTGGGGAAGGAGGCCGTGTAAACCCTGCCGGAACCTTGCTCCTCCTTAAGCTCGTCGCTTCTACTGATACTACTGGAGGGGTACTTGAACTACAAATGCCCATCAGGGAGACACTTGCGGTAGGGTGGGGGGAGCAGTCTGAAAACTAGACGCTGCCTTAAGAACATGTGTTTGTTTCAAGAAGGTTGCCCCAGAATCTTACAAGGGGGCGATGTAGCAAGAACCTACAAAACTAGTAGGCTGTTGCATGGGGGTTCAATTGCAGCTAAGTTTAGGGCTTTGGTGCTGTTGCAATTCCACGCACACTCCTAAACCTCCTTCTGCAGGATGGGCGTCAGAGAGACAGCGCAGGACTGCGGTTTCCGTTGGGGAGTCAAAGGGCTTTTTGCGGGTCTTCTCGGGAAGATTTGGGGGGGATCAAGTAGCTGCACGGGGCGTGCAAGGAAGGGGTAGAAATGTTGGACGACTGGGTTTTCGGGCCGAATTGCCGGTTGGGGGTCCTAAGCCGGGACCGCACCCTCACCCGCCGCGCCTCAGGGTACCTGGAAGTTACCAGGGGCTTGATGTCAAAGAGCACCTCTAACTAATGGACGCCTTTGGCTATGCCCGGATTGCCACTAGAGGTGCCCCAAACCCTAAACCCCGAACACGGACCCCATGAAGTGCATCCTAAGCCCTGACCGCCCAAACCCTAAACCCCAAGCCCGAAATCCCATGTAGTGCCCGTCCAGCAATCCAAAACTACCAATTGCTTCATAGCCCCGAAAAAATAAAGAATATTTTTCCTTGTTCAGGGCAATATAGGGTTCATAATTTGTTTTTATTCTTTTGGGGTTCTTAAGCAAATAGTAGAAAAGCAGCTGCCGCTCAAGGGCGGCTTGGCCGCCTCCGGCCGCCACGACGCCGGCGGGAGCTTTGGCGCAGGCCGTCTCGGCAAGCTGAACCCTCTAAGGGTAGTTCTCTGGGTTTAGGGTTTAGGGTTTAGGGTTTAGGGTTTAGGGATTAGGGTTTAGGGTTTAGGGTTTAGGGTTTCTGTGGTTTCCGAAATTCGGGGTACCTTATTAAAGATCCTTAAAGAGACAAGCAAGGGAATCCTACTATTTGGGGGATATGATATGGGGGTCCCTTATTTTCGAATAACCCAGATGGTCCCGGCCTCAGTATGGTCACTCGCCTTCGTTAAGGGTTCTAAAGTGAGGGCTCTTGGGGTTTTGCAGGGTAGATAAGGGGTATATGGGGTCCCCTGTGCAAAGCCCTGAGCGGCTCCAGTTACCTACTTTGTTGGGGGTCATGCCCGATATCTAGGGGTGATATCTTGGGGTTTGGGAATTACAAGTAGGGTTTAGGGTTTAGGGTTTAGGGTTTAGGGTTTAGGGTTTAGGGTTTAGGGTTTAGGGTTTAGGGTTTAGGGTTTAGGGTTTAGGGTTTAGGGGGTTTCGGGTTTACAGTTGAGGGCTCTGTAAGAGGTAAAGTTTCGATGGCTTCTTCGCCCTTTGCTTCGGGTTCTGCACCTTCTCTGGGTCTGAAGATGACCCTAAACCCTAAACCCTCAACCCTCAACCCTCAACCCTCAACCCTCAACCCTCAACCCTCAACCCTCAACCCTCAACCCTCAACCCTCAACCCTCCATGCCAGGCCTCCTCTCCACGTCTGCGCTGGTTTTGTGCGCGGCAGCTGCCTCCGCCCGGAGGCGCAAACAATCAATTGTTGGAGGTTTTTGGGTACTTGCAACCCCTTTAGGTTTTAGGGTGTAGGGTTTAGGGTTTAGGGTTTAGGGAAAGGGGGGGTACTGATAACCCCAGTTATGTTTTCAAGTACCCATGAACCTCCAAGTAGGGAAGGGAAATAGCAACGAGCAGCTCTTCAGTCACCAGGCGTTCCGGCGCGAGGCATGCGCGGACATCACGGCCCGCTTATGCTTCCGCGCCTCAAACCTATGAGGCCTCGGAAGGGGGACGGGGGGGTTAGGGTTTAGGGGTTAGGGTTTAGGGTTTGGGGTTTGGGGTTTAGGGTTTAGGGTTTAGAGTTGGTCTAGAGGGGGGGGTGGGGGAGGGTTCCCCAAAATTAGGCTCAAAGTTTTTCAGCTTGAAGCCAACATCAAAAAGTTCTGTAGAAACAACGGCCACCGGCCTTTCGCAAGGTTGAAGGGGCATCTGTGAAACTACAGTGTAGGTACTGTAGAACGAGATTTCGCGAAGCGTGTTTATAGATCCTGCTTCTAATGGGCTTTATAATGTACATCACAACGCACGTGGTGTTTGCTTCTTTTGCTTTGTGTCTCATCCCTGTATCTTTGCAACCTACGAAGCAGCGCACATGCCAATGCTGGCCAAACTCTCGTTCTGTGGAGCTTCAACTTCGCTTGGCTTTGAGCTTCCTCAAGCCGTAAAATCTCCCACCAGAAATACACCCAACATCCCCTCGGGCTCCTATCGGAAAGCCAGGGATCAGAAAAACCAAAACCCTGAACCCTAAACCCTAAGCCGGGAAATTTCGCGTTGTGTCGCTATCAAACCCACGGTCCTGGCAGTTCCGGGGGTAAGCCGGAAACCCTATGATTTGGCTGCTACTATATGGTCAGCCCTCTCAATTAGGTAAGTACCCTAGATATTCGGGGCCGCCTTGCAATAAGGAGCCAAAAACCCTAAACCCCAAACCCTCAAACCCTGAACCCTAAAAACCCTAAACCCTAAAACCCTCAACCCTAAACCCTAAAGACCCTAAACCCTAAACCCTAAAACCCTAAAACCCTAAAAACCCTAAAACCCTAAAACCCCAAAACAAGAACCGTCATCAATTGCCTGTGCAGCTTCTGCCACCGCGCGGCGGACGCCCGAAGCCCTGAGCCCGAAATCCCTAAGACCCGAACCTTCGGGTTTGGGGTTTGGGGTTTAGGGTTTAGGGTTTAGGGTTCCGGGTTTAGGGTTTAGGGTTACGGGTTTAGGGTTTAGGGTTTAGGGGGGAGTCTCTGCTTGGGCAGGGAGCCCCCATTGGACCGCCACCGGATCTGCCGTCCTTGCTGCTGAAAGAGCGTTTCTCGCCCCAACGTTCCGAGGGTTCAGGGTTTCAGGGTTTAGGTCTCGGGTCAATTGCAGGGTTTCTTGATGAAACACTGTTGGTTGAACAGTTCCGCATTCTGTGGCGTCGCCCCTTGTTTTGGTTACCCGTGTCAGGCGGTAAGTTTCATGGTTGTAATCTTGTCGGACCTAAGATTCGGCGCACTTTCTCCCGCTTCCACGCCGCATAAACTCCAACCCTAAACCCTAAATCCTAATCCCTAACCCCCCCCCCCCCCAAACCCCAAGCCCTAAAGCCCCAAAGCCCCAAAGTCCCAAACCCTAAACCCTAAACCCTAAACCCCCTGCGGCATCAGGAATTGTGTACCTGGGCACTCCGATCACTGCGGAGGTCCCCCGTTTTTGAGAGACTGCCTGAAGGTTGACGTGGCGGCTTCCGAAAGGAGGGTTTAGGGTTTAGGGTTTAGGGTTTAGGGTTTAGGGTTTAGGGTTCAGGGTTTAGGGTTTAGGGTTTAGGGTTTAGGGCCTGGGGTTCAGGGTTCAGGGTTCAGGGTTCAGGGTTCAGGGTTTAGGTCGTTTAGGTCGTTTAGGTTACTTGTAGCGACGGCTGATACCTAGCCCTCATCAAGATGTACATATGTATATCTGCGTTTATACAGATTTACATGTCTACGCGCATACTACCCGAAATCCTACTTCGCAACTCCCGGGCTGACAGCAGGCCCAGATCAAAGGTGCTTGGAGAGTGACTGATGGCATCCTATCACCCTCCCCCATTCCCCCCCCCCCACCCCCACCCGCACCCTCAGATGGGGGGTGGGGGTGGTAGTGGGGGGTGGCAGTAGGTGGTAGTAGTAGTAGTCGTCGTCGTCGTCCTACCAGCAGCAGCAGTAGCAGCAGCAGCAGTACCGGCAGTAGCAGCAATAGCAGCAGGAACAGCAATAGCAAGAGCAATAGCAATTGCAATTGCAATTGCAATTGCAATTACAATAGCAATAGCAATAGCCATAGCCATAGCCATAGCCATAGCAATAGCAATAGCAATAGCAATAGCAAAAGCAAAAGCAATAGCAGCAACAGCGGCAACAGCAGCAGCAGCAGCAGCAGCAGAAACAGCAGAAACAGCAGAAGCAGCACAAGCAGCAGCACTAGCAGCATCAGCAGCATCAGCAGCAGCAGCAGCAGCAGCAGCAGCAGCAGCAGCAGCAGCAGCAGCAGCAGCAGCAGCAGCAGCAGCAAAAGCAGCAGCAGCAGCAAAAGCAGCAGCAAAAACAGAAGCAGCAGCAGCAGCAGCAGCGGCAGCGGCAGCAGCAGCAGCAGCGAGAGGAGCGAGAGGAGCGAGAGGAGGAGGATGGGGCGGACGAGGAGGAGGAGGAGGAGAAGGAGTCGTCGTCCCTGTGAGTGGTTTCCCCTTAAATATTCCGCTCTTAACTTCTAATCGGATAACCTTGCAGCAAGCGACTCCCCAAGAATGTGACGATATTTATTTGTTGTTCGGCTTTGACCGTTATACTTAAGGGGCTTAGTATGAGGAATGAGGCTTGCAACATGACTGGGGAGCAGCCCAAATAGGGCCCTTGCTATTCCTTGGTCCAGGTTACCGAGCTCATCATCGCGCAGCTCCTGTACCTGAACTACGAGTCTGCAGACAAGCCGGTCGAAGCCTCAGGGAAAGCCCTACCATGAACCAGAAGCCCGAACCCAAGGGGGAGGTCGGGGGCGAGGGCGGAGCCCTGGACGTGCTTCGGGAAGCGGTGGTGTGAACGAGGCATCTTTCAGGTTTAGGGTTTAGGGTTTAAGGTTTAGGGTTTAGGGTTTAGGGTTCAGGGTTTAGGGTTTAGGGTTTACACCTGCCCAGATCACCCTCTACCTCAACAGCACCGGCTCCACGATCAAGAACAACACGCGGTGAGACACCTGGGATCTGTGCTGAGGTGCTGAGTATACGCAGCTTTACACCTTTTTGGGTACTATAAACCTCGTCTATGGGGTTTAGGGTTTGGGGTCAACAGAGTTTAAGGTTCAGGGTTTCCGCGTCTGGGCGGAAGGCAAGTCGTACTAGGGCCAGAGTGAAGCAGGGTTTATATTTCTGTTTTTGGTGAGTGTATATAAGGTTCCTTTTCAATATTGGTGAGTGTATATACCTAAATATATACCCTACTTCATGTAGCTTACGACTAACCTCTACAAAACCCTACAGGGAACCCTTGGCCATAAGCTCTAAACCCTAACATTCCCTTTCCACGTGTGGCGGAAGGTATATCGGCGAGTCTAAAGTCGGGCTGGAAACAGATGCCTTCGCCATCGCGGATTGCATGGCGCTGCGGGCTTAGGGTTTAGGGTTTCGGGTTTAGGGTTTAGGGTTTAGGGTTTAGGGTTTAGGGCTAAGACCTGGAGGGGCCCGTATTTCCTTTTTTAAGGGTTGGGGTTCCCTCATAACCCCCTTCAAGCCAAAAAAGGGCACCCCCTTTTTATTCCTAGATTCCTGGGTCTAGGAAGCCTTCGCAGACGAGCGTCTGTTGCTCAGAACATAAGGGCCATATTAGGAGTGCACGGGAAACTCCAAGGGGTACTTCCTTAAGGGTCCGAGTATGACTCCCTTGCGTTCGTTTGCTTGAAGCAATCATGGGACTCTGCTTTGGACCCCTCAGGTTGTGCCCTTGGGTCTGGGAGTCCTTGGTAATGGTTTCCTAAGGGAGTATAAGGGCCACATTGGGAGTATATTCGGGAAACCTCTTGGGGGGTACTTGCTTAGGGTCCGAGAAAAACTCCCTTGAATCAGGGGGTTTCGGGATGGCTATCAGCCCTGCTTTTGAATTTGCCCTCCTTACAGGTCTGACTGAATCGGCTACCGAGGTATATCAAGCCTGACATACAGACCATCGCCATCGGCCAGGCCATTATGAGACTTGAGACCGAAGCACGACCCTAAACCCTAAACCCTAAACCCTAAACCCTAAACCCCAAGATAAGTTGCAATTCGCACAAAACTAGAGATGAAGGGACATCAAAGCCGCATGGGATGGGGGGGGGGGGGGGTAGTCTTGAATTCTTTGCTGCTCTTGGCTTTTCTGCTAGGCATGCCGCAGCATTCAGTCGATTCCTGGAGTTGAGTCAAACTTGTCGCAAACTTTGCGGCTCTTCGCTGTGCGAGGCCTATGGCACGGCGGCAGTGCTTCTGGGCCTGGGCAAGAAGGGCAAGCGTGGCTCAGCTTTCATGGAGTCATGTGGGCGCAGAGAGGTTCCCCCAAGCTAGATGCAACTGCAAGTCTGCCAGGCATGCTTGCGTCTTTATTGGAGCAGTGCTGTAGTTTCTTGGTGGCTGCTTGAGACCACGGATGCCACGCACTCCAAAAGAGAGACCTGCAACCATGACACCGTGCATCAAGCAAGGTTTTGCGCTGCCGAACGCGACCATCATGCTCCGTCCTCAGTGCCTGTCCCCTCAATCCGAAGCCCTAAGGCCTAAAACCCTAAAACCCCAAAACCCAAAACCCGAACCCCGTTCCCTGAAGCTGGGCCATCTCCTGTCTCCTAAGCCACAGCTCGAGCTTCGAGATCTGGGAGTTGTTGGGCACAGCGAAGCATGAAAGACACTGAGGACCCTGAGCACCCTCAACACACCCTAAACCCTAAACCCTAAACCCTAAATCTCTAGTCTCTGATGCAACCGAGGCTCTCTGAGCCGCGCGAACCACCAGCCCAAGGGCCCCGACAAGCTTCCGACATCCGGATCATGGCCAAGGAGGCCCCGCATGCGGGTTGTAGGACCCATAGGGTTTCGGGCTTAGGGCTTGGGATTTTCGGGTTTAGGGTTTAGGGTTTAGGGTTTAGGGTTTAGGGTTTAGGGTTTAGGGTTTAGGGTCCTAAGTAGGACGTAGTGGTCGGACCACCTTCAACAATCATAGCACGATGCACTCGGCTGCTTGAACAAGGTTCGACCATGAGCAGCTCCATATGGCAAACCCACCAACATCGCAAGAGCAACAGATTCCCAAAACCGGTTTAGGCTTTAAGGCCTCCAGTAGACCTAAAAAGCAGGTATGCCCAAGTGTCGGGGCGGCAGATCCTACAGCCCCCTCTTGGAGGTTCATGGTGCCTATAATTTGGGGTTATAGGTACAGGTCTAGTTGGTTAGTAAGTACCATGAGCCTCCAAGTTGGCCCAGGTGCTGCAGAACCGGTCAACCATGAGCGAGCTGCTCTCCACCGCCACAGGCAAGAGCAAGGAGCAAGTGGTAGAGGACCCTCGGAGTCACAGGCACTCAGCCCTGGGACCCAGGGTAGGCCCTCATTCTTTTTTAGGGTTTAGGGTTTAGAGTGTTCGGTTTGGGGTTTTAGGTTCCGCCTTACATATGACCCTGCTTAAGGCTTAACAATGGCTATGCATGAGTCCTTAAGTGGACCTCAACACTTCAAGACTTCCGGTTTAGCGTTTAGGGTTTCAGGGTTTAGGGATTAGGGTTTAGGGTGTAGGGTCTCCTGACGCTCGAAGCACGAGGACACAAACCGCTGCTACTACATGACTCCCGAAGAGGCAGTGGAGTCTGGTGCTCAGTGAAGATGTCGGGGTGCTTCGATATCCCCCTTGGGAATTACTTTATTTTATCTATATAAGGCCCAAGAGGACATTAAGAACAATCTTTTCATTAAGGTTCAAAGGGGAGTATAGGCTTCAGGTGATTTTGTGTGCATCGGACAAGGGCTCTCCTTTCCCTCAAGTTTCCTTATGCTTGCAGCCCGGCTTCAAAATGGATGTGGTAGCAAGGCAGAGGCCTCACCCCGAATGTCAGGGGGCCCGGGGGCCCGTGGAAACCTCCCTAAACCCTGAACCCTGAACCCTAAACCCCAAACCCTAAACCCTAAACCCTAAACCCGAGGTATGGCCTCATTGACAAAGTCCTCACTCCCGAGAAGCTCAAGGGAGCCGGTGACAAGGACCTCCTGTGCATTCCCGATTCTCCTCCGGGTCTTGCAGCTATTGCAGCGTAGGGTTTAGGGTTTAGGGGTTAGGGGTTAGGGTTTAGGGGTTAGTAAGTTAAGGGTTAGGGGTTAGGGGTTTAGGGGTTTGGGGCTTAGGGTTTAGGAAGAGACCGAACAATAGGTCTTGGAGCCCCTAAACCCGATGCCCCAAATCACAAGAGTCGTTGACAGTGTTGCGGCCCTGTGAGATCCGAGATCAGAGCCCGGAATAGACCCTAAACCCTAAACGCTAAACCCTAAACCCTCTAAGGGTTGGAAGCATGGACCCACTAGTATAGTCCCTTACCCTTGTTTATAGGGATCCGAAGTATGGGCCCTTAATACTTAACGTGTATATATAAGGGTTACATAATCGGGTCCCCAAACTAAGGGCCCGTACTTCGGACCCTAGAAAGCCCCAAGAGCCTGAACCCTAAGTTCTTAACCGGCGCCAAAATAGGGTGGGCTTCGCGCTTAGGGGTGTCGACTCCGGGGTACTCACACAGGGGAAGTTAGAGGGTTTACGGTTTGGGGTTTAGGGTTTAGGGTTTAGGGTTTAGGGTTTGCCACACAGGGAAGTTAGAGGCGGTGGCGATCTTGATCCTCACATGCCTCAATCAGCTTGATCATTGGGGATGTTCTCCTTTGTACCGGCGGTCCTTGTTCGGGATTATCGTAAGGGGGTACTATAATCCCGAGTAAGTACTATAATCCCGAGTAAGGACTGCTAGTAGAAGGGGGAACATCCGAATTCATCATCCTGAATCATATCCCCAATCGATGCAGTGAAAGGATGTGCCATCCTTCGTCTCGGCCATGTCCTCTTGAGCAGCTAACCTGAAGCAGCGGCGAGGATTGTGTGGTACACACGGTCGATAAGGTCTCAGGGGCTTAGGGTTTCAGGCTCGGGGTGCGCGGCTGGAGTTGATGGTTTGGATTACTTCTATACTGACTAGACCCAGAAAACAACAGTCTGATCTTGTGAGAGCACGCCTCCACAAAAAACCCAAAATGTAGAGCCCAAAACAGGGGTACCCCTCCTATACCACAAAAATAATGGAACCCTCTTGAAGGAACCCCCCCCCCCCCCAAAAAAAAAAAAAAGGGTACTCCCAACCCTAAACCCATATGTCACGAGGCTGTCGGGGGCGATTCCCGAGAGGTGTTCAGGAGAAACGGGAAGTTTTCTCACCTCTGGGCCCTGCCCTGCCCATCTGCGGGTTGTTCTGTCTCAGGGCCACCTTTTTCAAAGTCCTTTCTACGAACCCTCAACCCTAAACCCTAAACCCTTCATGTAGAACAACCCCCTGTGGTGCAGGTCAGGGGCCCGAGCGTAGGGTATAGGAACACCGATGCCGGGTGTCAGGAATGTTTCTTCAACACTGCTGGCGGCTGCTTAGCGTTTTAGGGTTGAGGGTTTGGGGTTTAGAGTTTAGTGTTTAGGGTTTTGTGTGTCGGCGAATAAGTGTAGCTCGCATGATGTTCGGGCCTCCGGCAGCCATGCGTCTTGCTGACTGCGCGCCTCAAGCGACTGATACAAAGGCGCTTGCTTGCTATGCTCTCTGGCTCCAACTCCTTCCGTTTAGGATTTAGGGTTTAGGGTTTAGGGCTTGGGGTTTAGGGTTTAGGGTTTAGGGTTTAGGGTGTAGGGTTTAGGGTTTAGGGCTTGGAGTTTAGGGTTTAGGGTTTAGGGTTTAGGGTTTAGGGTTTAGGGTTTAGGGTTTAGGGAGCTATGACCCTAAGAGTTGGTCCGCCAGCAGTGGCCCTAAGAGTTGGGTTGTTCCCCCCTTATCCTAACAGTCCTGAGTAGGGATTAGGGATGATAGTACCCCTAGTAGAGTCCCTATGAAGGATTGTTAGTATACCGACGAGCATCCCAAGCTAAGACCCCCAAACCTTTTCCAAAACTTGTTTGGGGGTGGGGGGGATTCCTTTGAGTCCTTTTAAGGGGGGACTTCTGCGGGGAGACCTCACTTGTTGGAATCACCCTGAAGCATAGAAGCTACGCGCCATCCCACATGCTGAGCTCAACCTTGTTGCATCCGTGGCAGCTTTTGCGCATACAGCTTGAAACCATGCGCTCCATGAACCGAGCTAGATTTGAGTCTGCTGGTTAAAGTCCTGAGATACTGCCTGGCCCCGACAAGCAGAGTACCGGTTACAGAAGCAATGAGCAGCAGCAGCGCGGTGCCTCGCCGGTGTACTTCATACACATTTCACGATTGAACGAACTTATCGACAGAAGAGTTGAGTCCTACGAGCCGAGCATCCACACCCCCCCCCCCCCCCCCCTGCCCCCTGCCCCTGCCCCAAGTTCATCAAGATGATGCAGTCACTCGAAGAAGGTGGGCTTTGTGAGCTGCTGCATCGATATCCAAAGCCCTATACCCTAAACCCTAAACCCTAAACCCTAAACCCTAAACCCTAAACCCTAAACCCTAAACCCTAAACCCTAAACCCTAAACCCTAAACCCTAAACCCTAAACCCTAGCTAAGATCGGTCTTTTCACAGGCAGTGTACCGCTCACTGCGAACGCCCCCGGCTTAGACAGGGCTTTTGCGGCCCCAGGTTGCACTTGAGGTGTAGGGTTTAGGATTTAGGGATTAGGGTTTAGGGTTTAGGGTTTAGGATTCAGGGTTGAGCGTGCTCACAGGCCGATGCGCGGCATGCAACATCGAGATGGCAGGTGGCACTGTTGCGGGGGACTCGGTGCGCACCTTCATTCCCTGCGGAGCACCCCTAAAACCCTGAAAAAAAGCCCTAAATGAAATTTTTAACCGTATGAACCCTCAATGAAACTTAGCCGCATAAGCCCTTTAAAGACCCTAACAGTTAAACCCAAAATGAAACTGGAGCCTATAAACCCTAAAACCCCCTCTCCATCTTTCAGAAGCTGCAGTAAAAGCATGCCGAAGGTGCTTGGTGGCTTTAGATGCCGTCCTGGCGAGGAACTCAGACTGTGGAGCTGTTAGGGTCTAGGGTTTAGGGTTTAGGGTTTAGGGTTTAGGGTTTAGGGTTAATATGGGAGTTTCCGAAATAGGGGTACCCTTTAAAAGGGGTCCCTTTAAGGGGATTCTCTTCTATTTGGGGAATAGCAGGGGTACCCCTATTTTGGGAAATGCCCATATGCAAATATGTCGGAACATAAGAACATACTCATATACAATAATACAGGAGTACTGAAGCGGAATAAGGAGAATACAAATAGTAGAAATAGTACGAATATTGCGAAGAAAGATATTCTACAATGAATAGAAGTAATAAGATGAGAATAGCAATAAGAATGGCAAAAATAAAAATATTAATCAAACTAAGAATAAGAATGAGAATGAGAATAAGAATAAGAATAAGAATAAGAATAAGAAGAAGAAGAAGAAGAATACTGCTAATTATAAGAATAAGAATAAGAAACAACAGTAGCAACAAGAATTTCAACATTCATACTCAACAAGAATCGTCAAGATGATCGCATGCGTCATACTGTATTCATGGTAGCTCATAATCATCCTGTCCTGCCTGAAGGCTCCGTTGATGGTGCTGTCACCCTTCGCCTTCGACATGAACTCCTGGTCTACCAGTCAGGCTTTCTGAGACATGGGTAGTTCCCAGACTAGGGATACCTCTATTTCCTCCTCCTCCCCCTCTCCCCCCCCCCAAACAAGTGCTCGAATCCTCAGTAGTTAGTATAGGAAACCGCCCAAAAGGGCACCCCATATGTGATATTCGGAAGCCCCGCATGCTGTCACGCGTTGCGTGGCAGCTTAGCACTTGCATTTGGGAGCAGAGGGAGATCTCGGGCCTTTGTCCTGGGCTTTGGAGGACTATACTTGAACACTTGGTTTTTTTGGTTCTGGGTTCCTACTTCTAGCTACTTATGCCTAAAAAGTATATACTTTTGTCAGGGTCTACTCCAAAGAAGGGCGTCACACTGCCAGAGTGCGCGTGCAGGTGGTGCACTGGAGCTTCGACAAGTCCATCGCAGACTGGCCATTATTCGCGTGGACCAGGGACGTGCCGCGCCTGCAGTGGAGCTGTGTCTTCGAAAGCCCTAAACCCCTAAACCCCTAAACCCCAAACCCTAAACCCTAAACCCTAAACCCTAAACCCTAAACCCTAAACCCTAAACCCTAAACCCTAAACCCTAAACCCTACCATCCGCTGGGCACGGGATGTCGGGACACTGCACGTTTGGAGTTCGGAGCTCATGGTCACGACTTTCTGGCAATCCCTAAACCCTAAGCCCGAAACCCTAAACCCTAAACCCTAAGAGCCCTAAACCCTAAACCCCTAACCCCAAAGCCCTAACCCTAAACCCTAAGCGTCCCACTCCGCCCCATGGGTCGAGGTGCTGATCGTCGGCTTCCAACTCCATGCCCGGAAGTTGCAAGACAGCCAGGACTCGGGACATGGGGACATGGAGGGCTACGGTTTAGGGTTGAGATGAGGGTTTAGGGTTTAGGGTTCAGGGCTTAGGGTTGAGGGTTTAGGGTTTAGGGTTCAGGGTTTAGGGTTTAGGGTTTAGGGTTTAGGGTTAAGGGTTTAGGGTTTAGGGTTTAGGTGGGGGACTCGGGGATGGCTTCCGGCTGCGGGGCTTCGAGGCTTCGAAGAGATCAGGGGGCAATGTCCTTCCAAGACCAAATCGGCTTCAACACCCAACTCCTAAACCCTAGACCCTAAACCCTAAACCCGAAACCCTAAACCCTAAACCCTAAACCCTAAACCCTAAACCCTAAACCCTAAACCCTAAACCCTAAACCCTAAACCCTAAACCCTAAACCCTAGCCCTAAACCCTATACCCGGTAAACTTCAAGCCCCAAAACCCTGAAGCTCCCCCACAGCCTGAGAAGATCCCGGCTGCCCCAGGGATGCCAAGTCATTCGGGCTTCTAAGGGAAGCCCTTAGCACGGGGGGGGGGGGGGGGGGTTTAGGGGTTTAGGGGTTTAGGGTTTAGGGTTTAGGGTTTAGGGTTTAGGGTTTAGGGTTTAGGGTTTAGGGTTCTGAGATTAGCCCGTAGTATGGGCACTCAAACGGGGACCCCTTGTGCACCTTATCCTCCCCATAACACCCAAGGGCCCATGCTTCAGAACCCTTTAGAGAGGGTAAGGGCCCTTAGACTTGAAGCCCTAAACCCTAAACCCTAAACCTTTTGGGGCAACCCTGAGCCCTAAAACCCTACCGACCCCCCAAAGGGCTACCTCTCTACCTCTGAGAAGTCGGGCAAATGCAGGGACCGGGAATGCGGTGAAAAGGAAGCCTCAATGATTAGAATAGGGTTTCGGGGGTTAGTATAGTCTAACTATAGAAGGAGCATAGGGTCATTACAGTATAACTATAGAAGGAAAATAGGGCTCTTATAGTAAAACTATAGAAGGAACATAGAGTTATTATTGTATATCTATAGAGGGACCATACGGGAAGATGATAATTCATTATTCCGACCCCTATAGCACCTGTGCACCCCCAAGTCCTAAGTTCCCACAAACCCTGATAAGGCGTGTAGGGTTTAGGCTTGGGGTTTTAGGGTTTGGGGGGTTTAGGGGTTAAGGGGTTTAGGGTTTAGGGTTTGTGGGGTTTAGGGGTATAGGGTGGGGTGTGGGACTTCGGTGCCGCCGAAAACACGCAGACTGCTCGAGGCCGGTGCGCGGCGGGCGCGGCGAAGCGTCGTGGTGGGGGGCCCAACCAAGCCTAAAGCATTTAGTTTCGGATGTCCCCCCGTACCAATAACAGTCTTTAATAGGGATGATCGCACCCCCTAGTATCATCCCTTTTTAAGGACTGTTAGTATAAGGGGGAACATCCGAACACGTATTCCTAAACCCTCAACCCTAAACACCTAGTCCCAAACCCTATCAGCCCCAAACACTTGTTCCTGAACCCTGAAAGGACGAGAAGTATGATGCCATAGTTTGTATCAGCTCTTCGGACGCTGGGTGACCCCTGACTTCTGACTCCACCCACATTCTCTGCCTTCATCTCTTTTGAGTGGGGGCGTCACGTCCCCAAAGCCCCTATGCCCCCAAACCCTAAACCATCAATAAACTACACCCCTAAATCCCGAACTCCCTAACTCTAGGTTGGGTTTTTGGGATCTTGTATATTTCGGCCCTATCTACAACTGATTTTCAAAGGGCTTGAAGGCCAACCTTATTAACTCCCCAAACTTCACCCTAAACCCTAAACCCTAAACCCTAAACCCTAAACCCTAAACCCTAAACTACCCTAAAGCCGTTTTGCCTCATGAGACTCCTAGGCTCAAGGCTCGTGACCAGAGGGTTTTTGACTCCATGATCCTTCGGGTGTTTCGGATTTAGGGTTTAGGGTTTAGGGTTTAGGGTTTAGGGGTTCGCGTCTAGGAGTGCAAAGGGCTCACTCCGCGGTGAAGGATGTATGCTTCCAAATTTGAAAGTTAAAAGGGTTTGTTGTAGGGTTGAAGGTTTGAAAAGGGTGTAAGGGTTAAGGTTTAAGGCTTTAGGATGAACCCCCAAATTGTCCCGGCAACATGAATACTCACCCAACCAGTATCGCAGTGTATTCCTTAGAGTAGCCATATAAGCCACCGACAACGGCCTTTCACATCATCGAACCCAACCAACTAAAGCCCAAAACCCTGGAACCCCCAAAAAGACCGGATTCTTCGGGCTCGCTGTTACATGTCGCGGCCGCGCCGACGCCGCTGGCGTCAGGGACCTCCTGAGGGGGTAAGGGGCGTTTTAGGTCTACTGTGGAGTTTGGGATTCAGGCACTTAGGGCTTGAGTACGTAGGAGTTCAGGGTTTAGGATTGAGGTTTTCTTTTCCGGCAGTTTTTTGTTTTTGTTTTCCTCTTTTTTTTTTTTTTTTTTTGGGGGGGGGGGGTAGTTAGGGCTCATAAGACTTCTCGAGCCTCGAGGGGTTTAGGGTTGATATGCCGCACGCCCCTGCAAAGTGTCAGGCGGTTGGGTTGTAGGCTGCAGTAGGACTTCTTAAGGCTGTCTTAGTAGTAGAGTAGGCAACCTTTACCCATTTTGGGGTATCCTAATCCCTATAACATCCCAGAGGTTAACCTTGAATTCCCCCAGGTTCCTGGACAACTAAGCTGCTGCAGGGACTTCGATGCACGTTGTGCTGCACATATCTCTACGGTCAGCTCCAGGGCCCCTTACTCTGGCCCCCCTACCTTCTTTAAAGGGTTCTGTGTGCCCTTGGGTGTTTTTAGGGTTTAGGGCTTAGGGTTTAGGGTTTAGGGTTTAGGGTTTAGGGTTACCTACTTGGAGGTTCAGGGTACTTTATTCACCAATTAGACCTGTACTTATAACCCAAATTATAGCCATATTTGGGGCCTATTAGGGCACTTAAGGGGCTTGTGAGTGGGATATAAGTACAGTTATACTTGGTTAGTAAGTACCCTGAACCTCCGACAGGAGCCTGTTTGGTGGCCCTGGCCAGCTTCCTCGGTGCTCATTCTGCGGGGTATGCCGTGCCAAGTTCAAGCGAGAGGCCGGCGAAAGGACATGGTTTAGGGTTTAGGGTTTAGGGTTTAGGGTTTAGGGTTTAGGGTTTAGGGTTTAGGGTTTAGGGATGCCACCAGCCGGAAACCCTAAACCCTCGACCCCCTTCGTGCCCAGGCTTGAAACGCGAGAGACCCCGCCGAGCTTCAGAGCTGCGATTTCGAGAGGAGACTCTTACGGGGTTAAGCTCGTTCCTATATCCCCCTTGGGAATTATTTCTTATTCTTATCTGTATAACACCCAAGAGGATATTAAAAATATTCTTTTTGTTAAGGTTCAAAGGGGAGTATAGTTGAAGTTCTGGAAGACATCCCAGAGCCATCCAAGCCCTGGCATTATTGCACTGTTTCTACTCTTCTTGCTTTTCTTGTTTCAATATCTTCGGATGTTATGACATGATTACCTGATGATATGCCAGATGATTCAATAAGGGTATGTGCGGGCTTGCGCTTTAGGGTCCATCGGGCTTCCGTAGGGATTCTGCCTGAGGTTCCCAGCCATCCAGTTCTGCGTCGGAGCTGCTGGACCTCATGGATGACTACGCCACGCGCGGGGAGGCGAGGACTGCTTGGACTTCCAGGTGTGGGTTGGGTTTAGGGTTTAGGGTTTAGGGTTTAGGGTTTAGGGTTTGGGGTTTGGGGTTTGGGGTTTGGGGTTTAGGGTTTGTAGGACTTGTTTCGGATGATGGAGCCTTCGCCCCTATGATTGCCGTATCCCAGTAGCACGTGCCGGCAGCAATTGGGCCGGGGAGGGGGGGGCGGGGGGGGTGCATCTTCGCGTGAAGTGTTATAAAGGCTGACGTCTTCAGGCTGGGAGAACATGATGGATATTCGATAGGGCCGATTGGGGGCGCCGTGTTTGTCTCTTAGCTATAGGGCTGAGAAACCCCCCAAAAACCCTAGGTCCAGCACCCTAAACCCTAAACCCTAAACCCTAAACCCTAAACCCTAAACCCTACAGGTCCAGCTGGCCGAAGAGTGCTACACAGAGGTACGAAGGAGGGATCCCGTAGAGTGCCTTGGCAAAATCTGATGGAGGAATCTCGGGATGCGAGAAGTTGAGGGTGAAAACGTTGGGTCGATGCCCTGTAAACCAGAAAAGGGTTTAGGGTGTAGGGTTTAGGGTTTAGGGTTTAGGGTTTGGGGAAGCAACTGCGCAGGGCAGTGAGCCCATGAGTTCATCCCAGGAATCCAGGCAGAAATCAGCTTCTGCGAACGGTCCCCCGTCCAAGGAGCATCCGCTTCCTGACAAACATCATGATCAAGGTGCAGAGGGTTCGCGACTTCGGTGGGGCGTTTGGGCCAACGTAATACAGGGGTCGGAATAGTTGCTGGTAATACTCCGGTAGGGTCCCTTTATCTTTATCATAGTGGGGTAACATTTTGCATTTTTAAGGGTACTTAAACTCAATAAGGAATAAAATTTTTAAATTTTATTACTATCCCAACTATGAACCAGGTATCATATACTATAAGAACCCCGAAAACCCTATTCTGATTATTAAGGCCCCTAAAGTACAGTCCTGACCGCCACACGAAGGCCTGCGCGAATGCCGGAAACCTGACCAGAGCCGAGTACTGGCATCAGCAGCTCCTGGATGAGGGCATAGCCCAGAACGACAAGGGCTTTGGGAAACTGGTCGAGGCGCAATCCGGGCCTCCTCTTGTGTGAATAAGGTCCCTAAACCCTAAACCCTAAACCCTAAACCCTAAAGCCTAAACCCCTTTCTTTGCTTGCCGCCCTTGGGGGAGCACCCGCGCTCAGCCCGGTCGAATTATTCTTGCAAAGCGAGCCTAAACCCTTCGTAGCGGCCTCAAAGCCCGGTAGTTTCTCGACCCTCGCACCTACCCTAGAAGCATGTAGAAGCCCGAGATGTTCTAAGCATCGTGTTCCTGCACGCAGAAAGCTACTCTCCAAGAAACCCAAACCCCTAAACCCCTAAACCCCTAAACCCCTAAACCCCTAAACCCCTAAACCCCTAAACCCCTAAACCCCTAAACCCCTAAACCCCTAAACCCCTAAACCCCTAAACCCCTAAACCCCTAAACCCCTAAACCCCTAAACCCCTAAACCCCTAAACCCCTAAACCCCTAAACCCCTAAACCCCTAAACCCCTAACCCCTAAAACCCCAAACCCGAAACCCTAAACCCCCAAAACCCTAAACCATCTGGGCGCACGGCAGGCAGCGGTGAACGCCGGCCGCATGGATCGAGCAGAGGAGGGAGGGGGAGGGGGGGATTTAGTGGGTTTAGGGTTTAGGGTTTATTTAGGGTTTAGGGTTTTGGGTTTTGGGTTTAGGTTGAAGCTTGTTCACGAAAACCAGAAGAGCAAGGCTTGAATCTCGTCTTGCTTTAGCAGGTGGGGTCGGACAGGGTCCGGAAAGCTGCAAGCTACTGACTCTATCATGGGATTGGCGGCATAAGGGGGGGTACAAGAAGGGCCACCAAAGGCGTAAAAGTGGTGAAGAGGGGGGCAAAAAGGAGGGGGGGTTGGCGGGGCGAGGTGGGTAGAGGGTGGGGAGGGGTTTTGGGGGCTTGGGGTTTTGAGGGTTTCTTGAGTTTTCTGCGGATGCAGAAATTTGCTGACAAACTCGGGTTCCCCAAAGGATGGCCCTTGCTGGCTTTCTTGCTGTGCAGGTTTGAAGTTTGAAGGGTTTTGAGTTTAGGGGTTTACACCTTAAGACCATAAACCCTGATCCCGAAACCCGCAACCCTAAACCCTCTAAAACCCGAAACCCTAAACCCTAAACCAGCTCCTTGTCGGGGAGGCCTGGTTCGAAGCGTCTGTCAGGGAAGGCCATGCGAACGGTGCCGTGCATCTCGGCATAGGCCCAGCTAAAGGGTCTTGGGCTTTGGGCTTTGGGCTTTGGGCTTAGGGTTTAGGGTTTAGGGTTTAGGGTTTGGGGTTTGGGGTTTGGGGTTTGGGGTTTGGGGTCTAGGGGCCCCAAGCAGATGCCATAGTGGACGTTTAGATGTCCTAATCTCGGCACATCAAGAACCCAGAGCCCTGTAGCTGCACAGGAGCCCTCGACCCTAAACCCTAAACCCTAAACCCTAAACCCTAAACCCTAAACCCTAAACCCTAAACCCTAAACCCTAAACCAGCCCTCTGAATCCGCAAGCTGAACCGAACCCGAACCGAGGCTGCACACGATGATGATCAAAGGCGCAGCCATGAGCC